AAGTCAATCTGCAGTACAACCCATAATGCAACTTCTACAGTTGCTGTACACATGGCATTTGCAGCTACTTAGGAGTTAGAGTCAGGACTTTTATGCTCCCTCCTTGCCCCATTAGCACCAACCAATGTAGCTTGTATGTGCTCATAGTGGTTATAAGCATCCTTCCCCAGGGTTAAATCATTCTTAGCATTTTATGGGAATCATTGCAAGTCATTTTTCACTTCTATTGCAGATTCTCTCTGAAAATAGCAGCTGATAGCTGTTCGGGAGTGTTCTCTCCTATAGTGGATAATGTTGAGGACTAGAGCTCTGCCCATTTTTTAATTCTAGGAATCATCCAGATACCTTCAACCAAATCCCATGTCCTGCAGGTCTAGTTTAACAGATAAATAATCCAAAAGTGAAGTTTTAGAATCTCAAGAAGCATAATTCACTTGCAATACCTTGATATTTCATGTACTGTTTCATTGTAATGCATTGATTCATGAAAATACATAAGGAGCTCATTCTCAGGGTGCAAAATGTCATCGCTGTGTTTTCCTGCCTGGCTAAAAGTAATAGCAGGCCATGATCCTTTGCTAAATGCTGATGGAACCAAAATGAGAAATTGGCAATATGAAAGGGATCAAGTATTAGACCTGGGGTTTTATTTTGAATATTTCAGGGCAACTGAGTTAAACTCTCTTTTGTTTTCATTTCTTTTCTTGATAAAAAAAAAAAAAATATGGTACTCATATGGCTGCTGTGAGAACTTCATTCAAAGTATTACTATACATTGCTTTAAAATATCACACTTTCCAGAAAAGAAACACTGTTTCTCCTGGTATCCTAACCAGATTTCTCTCTTCTTTTCAAAATCCTCTGTGTGTTTTCTAATGCATGTAGCAGCATCATTTATATTCTGAATTTGTGTGTTACGAACTGCTAAGCAGATGCTGCTTTACTTCACCGCCAAAATTTGTATCACTTGTAGAATAAAGCCCTCTATATACCTGTAGGTCTTGCAATCCTATTTCACTGTGGCAGCCCTCACTGAATGCTATAGCTAGTAATTTTTCATTTAAATGCTGTGATACCATAGAGTCATAGAGTGCACTGCTCTGCTATGAGAAGTAGCCCTGTCCATCTCTGTTTATTTGTCTCCATTACTCCTACTTCACAGCTGGCTCCCGGACTTCATACCTCTGACACTTAGAAACTTTCCTCAAATGTCTTACCTGAATGTATTTCTTGGATCGTTTATACCCACTTCCTATTTTGCCCTTTGTCCTTTAGCTTGAGTGATTCCCTTGTCACCCTCTCATTATTCCCTTGACATCTTTGTGGAAAGAGATCAATCATATCTCCCCCTTCCACCTGCATACTGCAAGATTAAACAAATCAGACTTTTATAATCTCCTGGTTGATAACAGTCCCTCCAGCCCCTGAATACCTTAGTCTCTCCTCTAGGCTGAACTCATCTTCCCTGAGGAAAGGAGACCGGAGCACAGTTTTCTACACAAGCTACAACCAAGGCTTGACCAATTACCGGAATTGTTCCCTATCTCTACCAGACTTTACCTTATCCTACAATGACCTTTGCCTTTCTCCACAACTGTACAGCACTGTGGCTCCCAATCATCTGTCGACTGACTAAGCTACCAGCAGTTTCCAGAGTATGACTTTATAGCACAAATTCCTGTTATTGATCCCAAAGTGCAAGAACAGGCCCTATGAACTAATAAATTTAATCACAAGTCAGTCATTCTAAGTTTTTGAGGCCACCCGTTTCCTCCTTCATAATACTCTGGTCCCAATCTATACTGTGGAAATTTGCAAAGAACAAAAGAGCTAAAACTGGGCCTTGAGGAATTCCACTGCTGTATGCCCTCCAGCTTGATAGTTCCTTTCCTGCAAACCCTGTCATTCTCTCCCTGCTAGCTAGTTTCTGACTCATTTTACAACTTTTATTAACCTCTAGCTTTTTTCACTTTAGCAATGATTTTCAATACAGTACTCCATCAAATGCTCTGCTGAAGTCCAGATAGAGGAGATCTACTTAATTCTGTTTGTCTAAAGAAGAAAATGCCTGTCTTTTAAGGAGAAGATACCTATTTCATCTGTTGGCTCTCTTCCAACTCACGATGTGCTTTTGGATGCAGTTATTCATTTGATTGTGCACACAGACATGCTCCTCGCCCTCAGCCTCTAACTTTACAAAATTCCAGGCATCTTCCACTTCTGAACATCCTGAACTGAACACTCCAACTAATGCCATTGTTTCCCTTCATCTCCCAAAATTTGTCCCTTTACAGTTCATCTCACGAACTAGTCTTTATCTTTCCTTCTCTTTAATTTAGAGTGACTCAAGTCACATTCACTTAACTGCAGACACATGTTAAAAGGCACCAGGCCATGGTATGTCTAATATCTAAGTATGGCATAACAGAAAGGGCTGCTGTTGATGATTTTGTGTGTGAAACAATTGCATAGACCATGTGCTAGGACATTATTTCACCAAATAAAGAGAGAAAACTGCCAGAAAGACTTATTTTCTCTCTCCTTTAACCCTGGTTCTGAAATCTTCTCCCTACCTGAGAGAGAGAAGTGTTTGCTCAATCCTGTGTCCCTGCAGCCGCAATGAGGCTTGTTGTAACATCCTCTCTGTGGGGCTGCACTTTGAGTCCACCTAGAAACAAGCTTGTGCAGGATGCAGCTGTGAAGTGTTGTGTTAGGAGCCTGCTGGGCTGAGATCAATTTTGGCTGTCATTAAGCCTCCAAGTGCAATGTAAGATGCTGGTATTAACTGCAAAGCCTTGAACAGGTGAGGGCTGGGTTAGCAGAGGAAGAGCCTCCCTCCCTGTCACTGGTGAATCTCAGTAGAAATTCCAGGGCTGAACTGCTCTCACCAGCGCAAAGCAGCAGGAAGTAGTGTTGCTCAGTACTGATACGTAGTCATCCTTAGGTCAGAATATAAAAGCCCCTCAGCAACAGCTAGCAGCACAATGCAGCATTTTGGAAGAGGAAATACAGCACATTAAATCAACAGATGTTTTCCAAGTACTTTAGCTGGGAGAATGCAATGATGCTCTTTTGGATCAGGACCCAGGGACCATTGTCTTAAGAAAATGCCATGGAGTATGTAAGGAGTACAGGAGGAGTGAAACAACATTTAGGTCCCATGCAGACTATCTCCAGTGTCATAATGACCCTTAGCAGAGCCAGAACCTCAGCAGAGCATTGTCCAGAGAAAAGATATTTTATTAACCATCAGGAACAAGAAGAGGAATTACTGTTGGCTCACCGTGTAAGAGCATTCAGATTACTTCTACAAAACCTCTTGTACTGGCAGAGGGGAACCAGAGATGTTGCTGTAGTCAATTACTATAAATAATCTTTTATTAAGTGATTGCATGATATGATTAGCCTTTACACTTAATGGTGAACAGAGGATCCCTGATCTAGTAAATGACTGCCCTATGCTATCGCAGACATTGTAACAAGGGAAATTCCAACTAGATATTCGGAAAAATAAAAATCACCATGACAGTGATCAAACTGCAACAGGTGACAGAGAAGCTGCTGATTATCCATCCTTGGAGATATCCAAAATGGGACTGTACAAGGCCCTGAGTAACCTGTCTTAACATTAAAGTGGATCTAACTGAGCAGGAGGATGGACCAGATGACTTCCCTAGGTCCCTTCCAACCTGAACCAGTCTGCAATTCTCGGACTCCAAAGTCATCTCTTAAGTGAAAATGATGAATATTGAGTTGCTGCTTAGGGGGAAGTGATATCTGAAGGTAAAGGGAAAAATAAGTGAGTAACTTTACAGAAGAGCACATAAATTACAATACTAGTCAGACAAACACTAACTAGACATAGGCAACTATTTACAACATCAGTCTTCCAGAAGGGATCACATAGAAAATACTAGTCTGAGCAGGGATACAATCCTCCTACTCATTTTGGGCAGCAGCTCCCACCACAGATAGGTTCATTCAGAAACAGTAAGACTATTGGCTGAATAGTTCTACTTTTTGCACAGCCCAGTAACAGGAAGACCATCAGAACAGGCTGCTACAAGATTTAGCAGCGGACAGCAGCTCTGGGTGTCTGGAGACTATGGGTTTGAATCTGAACACCAGAGAAGATGTTACCACTCGGCATTATCACAGGCCTAGATGAAACCACACCACAGCCAAAACAAGCTACCTACAGACAACATAGTTGGAACTTGTATTTTGTGTAGTGTGAATCCCCCAGTGAAGAAACTCACAGTGAGTAGCAGAGCTGTTAAATCTTGGCCATTTCTACTCATAATAAAGTTGCAGAAGATCTTCCTGCCTCCCACTGCTGTGACTTAACTTCTAAGGTCAGCCACAGATATTCTCAGTATATCCTTGATGGGCAGGTTTTTTCTGCCAACAGCTCAAACAGTCTTTTGTCTTGGGTCACAGAAAAGAGGCGCAGCCCATGCATATGTCTGACAAATAAATTAAGTCCTTCATCTGGGTGGAAAGATGTATCAGAGCTCAGGGAAAAGCAGAGCTATCACCAGACCTGCTTTCCTCTTGATTTTTCATCAGCATTTCAGAAGAGAGAGTTCTTCTTGGGACTTTTCATCTTCCCTTTTTTCTTATATATACAAATATAAGTATTTCTTCAGGGGTAATCACCATTGCACTTGGACATTTCACAACAATCACAGACCAAATAAATGGATATCCAAACTAAACAAACATGGAGTATTCAAGAAAAAATACTGTCTCCGAGGCACATTGCATTCCTCTGTCTACTACGCTAAGCTCCACTGCCTTTTTAATTTGCCGCCATATCACAAGAAAGCTCATGATTAATTTGCTGTCAACAAATAACTCTTTTCCATCCCTGCAGCTTCCAGTGTACTACGTCACTGAAAATATGTTGGATTAAGAAAATACCAACTAGAAAAGGTGTAACAAATCAGAACATCTCCCAGAAGCACACAGACGTACAGCAGAAAAGTGTGTCTTTTTACCTGGAACTTCATCAGTCTCCCCACTGGTGTGTCTGAATCGATCTCCTTCCACACGGACATTTGGACACAGAACATCTGAAAAGCAAAAGAATCGGTAAAAAATTATCATAGGTAAACACATCATTTTGTAAGCTATGGAACTAACAAACCTGATTTCCTCTTTTTTTTTCTTTTGATCGACATTTCCACTGCAACAACTCTTTTCCTTGTCTTTATGCACTCTAACTGCCTTCCCCTAAGCTGTTCCCTAACTCCAGGCTGGGCAAGAGAACAAATACACTGTGTTTGGTTTTGATCCACTCTTTGCTAACTGGTCAGCCAAGAAGCCAAACGGAATAGATGACTTGAGCCCTTCCCTCAGCTAGGACATTACTTTGGATCTCTGTCTTCTGTTGGTGTATAAATATGCATGAAGGTAATAAAAAATTAACAACATTGAGACTACACTTCTCTCAGATTTGGCTGAATTTGAGCAAGATGTTCAAAAAGTTATTGAGTGGGAAGACATGACTTGCAAAGACAGGTGAAAATACAGAGCAGCTGTACAATCACATGAACTTCCTCTTCTCAACACACTAGGCCAAAAGGGTTCAGCTTGGTCCTTGTTAACAAACTCTGTCTGGCTAACTGCAACAGTTCACAAGCACATGAAATAGGAAAAAAAAAAAAAAAATTCTCACAACCTTAAAAGTCAAACATAGGGGCAGCAAGAGTTCTTTGCATCACTGCAACTTCTGGAGGCCCAGCTGAGATTGGGGTACTGTCCAAACTTTTCAGAAAGGACAGCTCCTACTCAAAAAAACTCACAATCCCTAAACAGATGAAACAGAAATAGACGATAAAGGGGATCCAAGCACAGGAACAGGAAGTGATTTCTATCACGTCAAGATCACATAACAGGTCAGTGTCAGGGACAGAAAGGAAAGCCTGGTCTCCTGTATCTTACTGCATTTTGCTCAGTTCCCCTTTCAACACTCCTCCATAATTATATTTACATGTCTGTGCTCCCTGAGTTTTTTCAAGTGGAAAGCAGCATTAAGCATGATTAAAATTTTGAAGAACATTCACCCTTAAGCATAGGTTTCAAAAACCACAGAATTACCCAGCCTTTGTCAGCCATTTCTCATGCTCCCAATTAGTGTCAACACAATTGTGGATGAATGCTTTTCTGTAAAGAACTGTCTACCTATCCACCTCTTTCCTGCCATACTTGAAGTAACATTAATTTTTACTTTGTTTTCCTAGATCAATAGGTAATTTCACACTTGTAAACAATGAGGACAGCTACTTCCAGGAATCTGTTTAATGAGAATATAAAAATGGACCCCTGACTTTTCACTGCATGCACAGCCGCACATTTATGTCCTTTCTCTGATTTAAGGAACAGCCAAGTGAGGACAGCCAGGTCTCATTCCTTCATTTGCCTACTTGTACACACGATGATACACATATCCTCTGCAGCTGCAAGACCCATCCAGTGGCATACGGTATTTTGCATTATCTGTACCTGGTGTTTAGTATCATTCCTTCGGTATTTTTCCTTGTATTTTCCCTTGTCAGGGAGCAGCAAGGGCTGGCTGATCCCTAAGGGATGGCAAGCCAGGAGCAGAGGGCGACCCCAGCCCAGGCAGTGCCCTCACCAAAGGGGCACAACTTTGAAGGCTTCCTTAAAGTGAAAGGCCACTGTGCGTGAAAGGCCACTTTAAACTGTGTGTGAAAATACCTCCAAAACCATGGGATAAGAACCACTTTTCTGAGGATGTTGCAGCAGTTCATGTATCTCTCCTTCTTCTTCCCGAATCTCAGTAAAGAATCCAACATTCTACAATGTTTGGTTAAGCCTAGAAGTGAAATCAGATGTTTTCCCTGCTTCATTGTGCTTATGAATTTATGGGCCAGATTATTAAGCTGCAGTTGAACCACTCGCAGCTCAGTGGAAAGAAAGGGAACTGTAAAAGCCATTTCCCAAAGCCCCAAAGGCCAACAGCAGTTGAACATATCTGGCCACCCCTTCAGCTCACCAACAGGGGAGGTCAGAGAGCAGGCACTATCCCAAGTGTCCATGACCCAGGTCTCCTCAGTCAAGAGGGAAGATGCAGGGCGTTTAGTACTAGAAATCATTTTGTATCAGTGCATCAGCACAAAAGTGTCTTCATTCAGCTAAAGGTCCAGCCCTGCAGAGTTCACCTGGGCAAGTCATTTGTCAGTGCTTTTAGAGTACTTCAGTAAAGCTGCTGTCAGCACATTTTTGAGGAAAATACAAGTATGCATACTTCACTTTGCCAAGCAGAATCAAGCAATTTGATTTCCTTTGGACTGTTTTCAGGGGCACAAAACAAATGTAGCTGCTGCTCTTACAGATAAAATTCAGAATTCACCACACCAGGAGCCAGTATGGATTGACAGAAATGACAACTTCATCTGAATTTTAGCTAGAGCTCTCTTTTGCTCCTTGCTGCCTGATGGTTTGAAAGCCAGGATATTTCACTCAAGCCTGCTTCTCAGCAGGTGAAAATATGTGGTTGTTCTCCCCTCCTCTCCATGAGAGCTCTGGACTACTTTCCAAAACAACAGGAAAGTTCCCCTCTTCTAAGTAAATTGAAGTCTAAACGTCACCACCATCTGTCCAAAATTGCCCTATCTGCTTGCAGGCCTCCCAAAGTCCTCTTCTCCCTCTAGACCAAATCCTGTTTACTTTTCTAGCATGTTGAAAGCTCCATTATTTTTATGCTGGGATCCCAAAGTTCACCTTGAGGGAAGAACATAACAGCTCTTTCCCACTAGGCTGCAGTTCTACGATGGTAAATTATAAGTGAATACCCACGCTCATGTCTAATGCTTCCTTCCTCTTTCTTTCAAAGTGTACTTCTATACCTCCACCCTAAACCCCCTCTATGTTTCTATAGCATAGTCAGTCTTTGGATCTGTATCCGCATGTTCCAGAGCCAAGCCAATACACAGCCCTATCGGCAACACTTTTTTTTTTTTTAATCCCTGGTGGTTATAACTGACAAGTGTAACAAGGAAATAAAATAATATTAAAATATTCAGCTGCCAAAATAAATGGTTTCTATTTAAATTCTATTACTTCTATTTCAGGCAGCCGCACTTCACTCTAGGGTACGTTTCAGCCAAACTAAGCTGTCATTGCTTCCAATTATACTATTATTTTAAGCTTTAAAAAGGATTTTTCCTCTTTTAAAGTTCTAATAATCATTAAGACTTGTAAGAGCCAAAGTCATGCCATCATTACTCCCATTCAAAACCAAGCTGTACTGACAAAAGGTTGCTTAGAAGTGTCAAAAACTCTGTTCAAATGTTGATATTGATGCTTGAACGTCTCCATTTTTAGTTACAATGCTCTTTTGGTTGCAGGCACTGATTCAGCATGTTGGAGTCCCAGTCTCAGAACTGGAAGGTATACAGTTTTTCAGTAAGATAAGCGTCAAAGAAATCAAAATGACCAAATTCCCCTAAACAAAGACTTAAAATAAAAAAGAAGACATAAATAACGCACGCGTCTGTGTATCCTGAGAGGTACACAAACAAGAACATAACAGGTCTCAGGCACTGCGAGATACTTTTCATGCAGTGGGAAACTAATGTTGCTTAATTACAGATAAATAAATTATCACTCCAACCTTTAATGATATCACACACCCTCCACTAGGTCAAATTAGAGAGAATTGTGACTTCCTAGCAAGAAAGCATGAGCTAGTGAACACCTTCTTATTTTAGTTTCGGTTTTGGAACCAAGACTATACAGCAAATCCATATATTCACCCAAACTGACAGCACAACAAGCGTTGCCAAATAGCATTCACGTTTAAGTGCTACGTCCGGAGATGCATTTAGAGGAAAGGCACACCAGAGGTGTTCCCCTCCTTTGGCTGGAGCCTTTTAGCAAGATCCCTGGCTAATGTGAACATTTTAACATCAAAAAAGGGTGCTTCTGACCATTCTTTCTGCCACCGCCGTATCAAACTTTGAGTGAGCACCTTTGGTGTTTGCAGAATTTTTCCAAATGTTTGTGACGCTGAGTGTCCAACATGAAAGGCAGACGGGGTAACAAAATCTGCACTGCAGCTACACCTCCACTCATTTTTAAATATTTCACCATCTTGCAAAAGAGAAGATACACTTAATTCATATGAGTTTCTAGCCACTGGTCCTTGTTACATCTTCTCCAGCCATGTAAGAGAATTTTGTAGTAGCCAGCACTTTCTTTTCCTGCAAGTACTTTGTAAAATAGTTACTGCCTTAACCTTTTCCTTCAAAGTCAGTCAAACCAATATGACTTTTAAGTACATATTGTTTTAAAAGACTCAGCTTTCTAAGCAATCCAGGTTAGTCTGAATGACTTCTTTGTTCTCAGCATTATGTATTATTCTGTCTTTTGCTTTATCCACAAATTTTATCAGCAAAGATTTTACATGTATGCCTATATGATTCATAGAAACTTTGAAAAGCATCAGGAGTGCTACAGACTCCTCTTACAATTGCCTCAGAAATGCTCCTGTCCGTGATGACTTTCCACTAAATCAGATCAGTCAGTTCTTAATCCATTGTAGAGTGTTACTTTTTAATTCAGATGCCATTCAACAGATAGTAACAATGCCTAACAACAAATGTATTATATCTGCATAGTTACCATATCAACTGAACACTAATCTCCTCACAGAAAGAAATGAGTTTTGTTAGAGAAGACCTCTTCTCCATAAAACTATAATCCTTGAATAGGGATACCTAATAATTCTCCTTCTGTAATACTTTATTCACCGGCTTCCATATCAACTGTTCTATTATTTTTCGGTGAGTAAGATCAGGCAAACTGGTCTATTGCTACACATATGGATCACTTCCCATTTTTTAAGAGTAGTACATAATCATCATTTCAAGGTCCCAAAACTTAATTAGTGTTGCACTAGAAACATGAATGTTTTCCCAGGTCTCTCTCTTCTCTCTTACTACTGTTGTGCCCCCTGGCAGTCCTAGCTTGCTGATGACAATGGCATCTTTTGTTGGGATGGCTGAAGAATTTCTCCGAGAGACGCTTGCTTCTTAAAACCAGAAGT